TCAGTTCAAGGTCCCTGGTTATTGAGTTCCTGCCAACTGGCAGGAGCTGAATGCTGATCTTTCAGGCTTTTCTACACTTAGAAATGACTGATTAAGCTAAAGATTATTCTAAAGCATCACAGCCCCCTTGTACAGATTTTCTTAAAAAGGTTTAAGGGTGGCTGAAATATATGTATCATTGTCAAAAGGCAGGGAAGGATGACTTCCTTAGAGACTAATTGGTTCAGAGATGCACGTGCTTCTGTAGACAATGGCCCGTCACCTATGAAAGTTCATCCCTCTGAACCAGTTTTTAAGGTGTTACCCTGCCCTGACTTCTGCCTGACTTCAGATTAACCTAGCTCACTACCTCTATTCATTTAGCTTTTTGAGGTTTGGACTCAAGTCAGATTGATGCAATCCACCCTAAACAGTGAAATCTGAGCCTCCATAGAGGGACTGGTACCAATTTAACTGCATTGTTTCTGAACCAGTGTGGTTACATCAGTAGCAGGCTGGTGCTGTCGGCCAAGTCTCAGCTTTCCCACTGTTTGAGGTGGTCCTTCCAGGCTAGGTGTGAGGCTTAGTTGCAGGCACTGGCCTGTTGTCTCCATGATGTATTCTCTGGATTTTGTGCTGGCTTCACGGGCACTAAAAAAAGCACTTCTTTGAAACCAATTTACAGTCTGGTGCAGAAATTAATAGTATCATGTGCTGCCCGGAGGGGGCTGACCCCTTGACATTGAGCAAAGACCATTCAGGAGAATAACATCCAGTCCCTCTGCCAAAAGAATGGAAGTTGCAAACAACTGTATATTTAAGGTTCTGAAGTCAAGAGAGGAGAGACGAGATTTAGTCCAGGGCCAGGTGCACATGAGACTGACAGCAGCCATATAATGAAACTGATTTTAAATCAGCTTGGATGCCGCAGGGCTAAGCCTCAGCAAAAACATACATGAGCTGTTTAAACACCGTTTCCCTTAGTTTAATTTAGTTTGGTAATGTACTCACTTTGGTTAGGGAACCTGCAGTATCTGGTGCTGTTCAGGGAATCAAGGAAGTATGCCTTCCTTACTCTGAATTTATTGATTCCTCAGCTGAAATCCAACTCCAAGAAGCCTTTTGCCCTTATTCATCTGTGGCATTGGCCACCTTCTCTATTAGCTTGTCATGCAAATTAATTTAATGCCGCTGAAATCCCATGGAGCTTGTTTTAAAATCGTTATCTCTGGGGAACTGCAAATAAATCATACATACATCACACTTGTGTTTTTTCCCCAGCCTTTTATTCGATGCAGTTTGCAGTGCAGAGACCTTGTAGATGAAGCTAAGAAATTCCACCTAAGGCCAGAGCTCCGGAGCCAGATGCAGGGACCCAGAACCAGGGCACGTCTAGGTGAGTAACAAAGACGAGGACTCGGAGAAGGATGGGTGATATTGCCAGGTGCAGTATAATAGATGTTCCCCAATGACTTCTAACTAACACTATCAGGAAACTTTCAAGCACTAACAGGTTACCTTTCACAAACCCAAGGGAAGCAGGTACTTATTCCCAGTGTACAGGGAAGGAAACTGAAATCCGAAGGGAACGACCTTTCATAACAGTGAGCCAGTGGTAGAGCTGGGAGAAGAAGCCACATCTTATTCCCACTTGTGAGCTTTAGCCCCAAGACCTTCTTTCCTGGATGACTTATCTATGTCTCTAAGGACGTCTCAGGTGGATTTGATTTAAATCAAATCAATTTAGATCATGGTTGAAATCATGATTTAAATCACTAGTCAGGAAGCCTCAATTTAATCATTGTTTTGTCCAAAAAGTGCATTCTTGTTTGATATAACCTTAATACATATTATTCACAACTCAAAGATAGATGTAGGTTTCATTTTTAGAATGTACACACTATCCATTTTAAAGCAGTGATTTATTTTGAGATTTTTTTCAGATTAATTGAATTATAGCTTTTCAGTAATTTTAACTAAAGCTTATGTATTTTAGATATTTTTCTTCAAGAACAAATGTATAAGTATTTTAACAAAAAGCATATGTCTTTTTGAATTTGTAACTATTTAAATTATAAATATGAAATGTGTTTTTAACAAAAATTAAATAGATTATTTCAGCCAGGTCAACGTTAGAAACTTAAAATATTGGGTTATACAGGAAGAGGAAGGTGAAGACTGAGCAAACTCAGTCTTCACCTTCCTCTTCCTATTTATTCATAGACTGGAAAAGAAAGACAAGCTTTCCTGCTTTTTCAGTGCCCAAGCAATTTTTCAATGTAGAATGAATTAGTCCAAAGAAAGAAAATATGTTTTCTACACCTGCAGAAGAATCATAGAAAATGAGGGTTGGAAGGGACCTCAGGAGGTCACATCTAGTCCAACCTCCTGCTTAAAGCAGGACCAGCCCCAAATAGATTATCTTCTCTTGCTGCACCTGTCCCCCACCCCTTCACATGGGAGCCAGTGGCGGGTTGCTGAGGCAGCCCCAAGGCCCCTTAAACCCCAAGCTCCTCTGTAGTCTTAGAGCCCCTAGTGGGGGGTAGCACCAGTGCTGAGCCTGCACCTGGGTGTTGCTTGTGGAAAGATGCTGGGGCTGCTCTTCTGCAGAGCCCAAAAGTCCCTGCAGGGCAGGGAGTTACTAAGGCCGCAGCTTCCTCTTAGCAATGGCTGGGACTGTCTTGGGAACAGGGTCTTCACCCCTCAGCGCTGCAGCACCCCTGAAAGGATCTTAGCCCAGGCTGAGAATCACTGTCCTGGGAGGGATCCAACACTTGCATTGGCAGGGGTGACACGTAAGGGGTGCAAACAGGTGCACATGCACTCCCTGAACGTGGCAATGCATCTCCTGCAAAAAGGTGCCGCCGGCAATGTTGGCGGTGGCTGCGGGCGGTCACCGCTTGCCACCCTGCTGCCAACCCGCTGGCAGCATCTGCAGGCAGTCCACAATTGCCCCTGGCTGCCACTACCAAGGCCGGCAGTGCCTGCAAGTGGTCACTGACCCCTGGTCAGCACTTGCCACCCCTCCCACCACCACCACCAGTGTTGGCGATGTCTGCGGGAGCTCTGCGCTTACCGCTGCTGGGCTCCCGCCATCACCAGCGCAGCCATGCCCCCCCAGCTGTCAGGGGCATGCACCATTCATGTGCATTGGAGTGGCAGAGGTTGGCCCCCAACAGCTCTGAGATTCCCCCCCACCTTTTTTTTTAAGTCTCAAGTTGCAGCAAGGGAAGTTTAGGTTAGCTATTAGGAAGAATTTTCTCACTAGGAGGATAGTCAAGCACTGGAACAGGTTACCCAGAGAGGTGGTGGAAGCTCCATCCTTGGAGGTTTTTAAGGCCCAGCTAGGTGAAGTTTTGGCTGATGTGATCTTGTTGGGGCTGGTCCTGCTTTGAGCAGGGGGTTAGACTAAATGATCTTCTGAGGTCCCTTCCAACCCTCATTTTCTATGATTCTATCCCAGCCAAAGCTTTGTCTAGCTAGATCTTAAAAACTTCCAAGGATGGAGGTTTCACCACCTCTCTGGGTAACCTGTTCCAGTGCTTTACTACCCTCCTAGTGAGAAAATTCTTCCTAATATCTAACCTAAATCTCCCTTGCTGCAACTTGAGACCGTTGCTCCTTGTTCTGTCATCTGTTACCACTGAGAACACAGTTTACCTCCATCCTCTTTTGAACCCCCCTTCAGGTAGTTAAAAGCTGCTATTAAATCCCCCATCAGTCGTCTTTTCTCTAGAATAAATAAGCCCAGTTCCTTCAGCCTCCCCTCATAAGTCATGTAAAGAAGCTACTGCTGTTAAAAGCTGGATTATCACTTCAGTAGTCTCTGATGGATTCAGGTGCTTAAGTGATTTCCACCAGTTCACTGGTGTGACTTTCTTTAAAACCTCATCAGCAAACATGTATTTTTGAATGGTTCACCCTTAGCCCTGAAATTTGTTATAATTGGTATTATGGAGGCGTGATTGCTAGATGCCCATGTCATAGCCAACTTCTCTTCTTCAGTTAAAAATTGACCCTGGAACTGAATATTGACAATATTGGCAAGAAAATGAGCTGGAGGTAGTGCTTGATCCATCCATTGTTTTAGATGCCTGTAACTTAACTCTGTCGTGTATTTCTCTTTTCAAGATCTAACTCCGTTCCTTCCAAACTTCAACAGCATCAACAATAAAACAGTGATTTCCCTGCATGTTGTCCAAGGCTATGGAAATAGGCTTCAGGATAGTCAGCATCTGTTCTACATTTCTCTTTATCCCAACATTGAGAATTTTGGCTATAACAATTCCATCTATTTTTTTACAATTTTGTTCACAAATTGTCATCAGATTAGGTCAGATCTCAATATACCACTCAAAACAGCCCAATGCTGAGTTCTGTTGCTTGTCTTGTGGGAGAGTTGGTTTGGTTCCTCCTGCTTTCTTCAGAGCAGCTGCCGCAAAGTGGTTGTGACAGAAGTATTTTGCAATTTCCGCAACGTTAGCCTTTATTTCCTGGATGCATCAAACAACCACTGCAGCCATATGTTATTAGTTTGGGGCTTTCTTCACTTTCTTCTAGATTTCTTCTCATCTTTGATACATTTGCAGCATCGTCTGTGACAGAGCTGCATATTAGACATTTGAATTTTTTTTCACTGTTATAGCTTTTACTGTTACCTCTTGTAAGTAGTCCGCTGTGTGTGCATTTCTTGATGTATCAATTGTTTCTGTAAGGTAGACAGTCCCTTCTTCTGCTGTCACACAAGCACATATTATTGGATCATTGTAGACATCGCTCCACCCAACAAGACTCGGGTTAATAATTTTCCTCTAGACTGCTTGAATGCTGTTCAAATTCTTTCTCATATACTTTATCCAGAAATATTGTCTCAAATAGTATATGATTAGAAGTTATAATCCCTATTCCACAATGGTATCTTTGAGCTTTAACATTTCTTAAATGAAAACTATCTTTATATTGGGGGTTTTTTAAAGCATCTTCACAAAAAATACAATGACAAAAAAAAATCTGATTTAAATAAAAAAGTTTTCTTTTAATTAAAAAAAATGTATTTTTATTCACTGAGTTGTTTACCATGACTTGCTTGCTTCCTTCATCCTGCCTTTCTTCTTAAATCATTAGAAGTACCTGAGAAAAGAAGAGCTAGGAAATGAAGACGTACCAAAAACTAGAACTCCTGTTGACCCAAAATGATATCTTGTATTAGACCAACTGGAAAATGGCAAGAAAAATGTCCTTTTCTGCAAGCTTTCGGGATCAAAGTCCCTTCATCAGGCTCTGGGAAAAGTGTAGATGGTACAAGATGGTAAAAAGTCCCCATAGGTAGGAAATAAACTTCATTTTTGCAGAAAAGGACATTTTTCTTGCCATTTTCCAGTTGGTCTAATAAAGGGTATCATTTTGGAACTAAGAGTTCTAGTTTTTTGTATGTCTTTTTTGTCTCAGACCAACAGGGCTACCAAGTACACCCAGGAAACGAAGACACACTTTAGTGTTAAAGAGCAAAAATGTATCCTTATTTTTGACAGATGCTTCCCAGATAGGGGGAGCTGCAAGCCCCTTCTCACTTGGTGCTATGTTCTAGTCTTTCTGAGAGTCCTGCAGAGCTGAGCTGGGACAGTTAGTTCATTGTTAGGGGTTGCTTGCTCTTGGCCTCCTAGAAGATAAAATGTTCTTCCTATCTGTTTCTGTAGCTCCCACTCTGCATTCCAAGCATAGTTTTGGGGCTCTTGAGAAAGATACTTGGCTTAAGGCTACAGTTGTTTCAGGGTGATCAAAACAATGGGAATTATGCCCAGAAGAAGAAGAAAAAAGTGCCTTATTGACTTATTACTCCTTGCTGCCACCCTCTTTGTTTTCTCCACAGGTTCTTCTTCTTCCATTGTCTTAGACACACACTACCTGACCTCACCTTTAGGGCCCTGCCTGGCTTAGCCCCATCCTACCTTCGGTCTCATACCCACTCTAAAGACATCAACTTCTGCCCTGCCCACAGTACTAGCCTTTATTATTTCTTAGTCAATTAATCCCATAAATACCTTCATCTTTTCTCCCACCAGCCCTTATGCATGGGGGGAAGTTGGCTGTAAATCCCCAAAGTCTCACTATAGTGTAGTCCCGAAAACTCATCTCCACCACGATGCCTGTGAAACATTGGAGAGTAACTAAACTAGTAAGTGGCCCAGGTAACCTGCCTGCTTCAGCCTTTGTTTGCACTCAGTTTGCATACTTACAGAGCAACTTTTTTACAAACTGGCCTTTTCATCCAGGGGAACCCCGCCATCTCTGAGTTCTCCTGTGCACGATGAATTTTCTTTTCTACCTGGGAGAAATTTTACAATCTTTGAATTCTCTTTTGCCTGATGAAGAGCAATGTAGACCCAAAAGCCTGCAAAGAAAAAAACAATTTTGCAACTATTTAGTTAGTCTAATAAAAGATATCAACTCTATCCCAAGAGTTTTGTCTGCCTAGTAACTGGACAGTAACTTATTACATGTATCGTAGTCACTTTGCTGGAATCTTGTGCTCCTCTGCATCTGCGTGTTGGCTCAACTAATTTTGAATACAACACCTAGCACAGTGGAGCCCTTTTCCCCGATTGAGGCCTCTGGATACCAGCTCAGTACAAACAATTAATAATAATGTCTATAACTTTGACCCCTGTGTCTTTGTACATACAATGGTCATCCTAGGATCATATCAAAGCAGGGCTGGAAGGGACCTCACAAGGTCATCAAGTCCAACCCCCTCCTCAAGGCAGGATCTTAAAAATCTTTTAGTCTTTTGAAATAGCTGTTTGTAAGTTAAAGAGCAGATACGGCTTATGTGGTAAGGAGTGTTATCTGTTCTATTTTTTTATAGTGCCTAGCAGATTAAATTGTCACCGCTAGATCTGGGCACAGCCTTCCCCTACAGAAATCTTTAATAATTATGTTTGTGGTGGTCTTTCTATCAAATACAGAGAATTTCACAGATAATGTGGTAACATTTACCTAAAAATACAGCACTGTGGCCATTTTAATGGTGACCACTATTTCAGTTGACTCTATCTAATTTAGCTATTCGCTATCAGCTCTGCAGAACCCATCTTGTTCCGGAAGAGAGAAGCTCCCATTCTATCACGCCTCTAACAGCATCACCCAGATTGCCAGTCTCTTGGTGGTAATGATGTTGGAAAAAAGGGGATGAAATATGATATTTTTTGTTCATTAATGATCAAGAAAATACAATCTGGGTATCAGTACAGCATGGAGTCTTAAGTTTTGTTCTGACACTTGGTGTACACAATAATTGCTTCTGTGTATGATGATGAAAGGGGCATGCCAGTTTAACATGTGGTCTTGGCCTGTCTGTGTAATGGCTTTACTCAAAAAGGAAGTCCATTTCCCATGTATTTGCTTCTCCCAGATTATGTTGGATGGATCTGCCTATAGCTATGTTGGTAGTTAGGTTGTTCACAGTGATGTTTTCAGAGTTCAGGCTGTACTTGCAACTTGAATGGGAAAACACATTTTGGTTTAGCTTGAAGATTGACTGTTTCTGTAGTATTTGTAATGAATAGGGAACAGAAGGATTGGGATACTGACTTGAAGATCATTGTACACCCAACACAAAGTCGCTTCTCTCTTTCATGTTATTCTTTCTCCGGGAAGTTTCTTCACTAAGATATGACTCATGTGCCTTTCACTCCTCTTCCTCACTCAGAAGAAACCTAACTGCTTGCCCATTTTACAAAATGTGTTATTTCACCCCATTCTTCCTCAAAATGCATACCCTGTGCAACAACAGACATCTATCATCCTCATGGGATTATTAGACAGTGTTATCAATAGCAGTAAACCCAACCATTTGTGCCTCATGTTCCTTTTCTCTGCCAAGTCCAAAAAGATCCATAGTGGGGTGCTGAATGACACTGGCATACTGATGATGAAGACTTGGCTTTGGGAGAGTGGGTGGTTGCGAGTTTGTAGGAGTCAGAGTCTGGATGAAGACTAACTGGCTGAAGATTTGCCCAGATAAGAGGGAGATGACATTTTGATGCCACAAGAAACCACAAGCAAGTAGCACATCAACACTTGTCATCTGTTGAATGCATCCACTATTGAGCCAGGTTCACAACTTCACGGAACCCTTATCCCTAGGGCCACGATATTCCTGCCTTCTGGGATGTGTGGTCCATGTTTGGTAGTTGCTAGCTGTTGTTTCCTCTGATGCCTTTGCTCCAGCAGAGTGCCTGAAAGCAGTTTCTTACCTTAATCCGCACTTTGTGACTATTGGCAGTAACATGCTGCGACTTCTCTTTGTCACTCTTTGGCACCTTCTGCTCCAGCTTCTCGTGACTCTGATCCAGGAAGTCTTCATTCTGTTGATACTATGCTTTCAGCCCTTGAAACTTCCTCCAAGATGAACACCAGCTTGCAGTTGGTGCAGATAAAGCTGAAGTTATCTCAGCTATCAGGGAGGAACATGAACTTGGCATGTCCCATGTTGATAATGAGTCTGATCTTGATCCACTCTCCATTTTTCTGTCGTTGTGTCCTTTGAAAACTTCTGGGTGGTGGGGGGAGTGGGGAAAATCTTATTCTGTCCTAGCTCTCTCCTCAGGCAAACTCAGTGTATTCACACAAGGCTGCCTTTTGCAAGGCTGATTGGTCTCAGCTGGTCTAAGTCATACATGGTCCTAGCTTTTACACTTCAATCAGCTACACAAGACCTACCTAAAACAAAATACTCTACATCCACAGTTGCAAACACAAAGCATGAAGATGACTGAGACAGACATACAGAATGAGGCTGCCTGCTGTTGTAAAGGTTTAGTTCATAGTGAAGCCGTGAATGAGGGAGGGTGCAGTTTCAAGTCTGGATGTCATTTATGTTAAAAAAGAGAAGTGGGGTTTTGCAAGAAAAATATAAGGGGAACATGCACTCTCCATGCAGGGGAGATTGAAAATTCTGTGGGAAGCTCGGAGGCATTCACTTAGAGCCAGCTGTTCTGTACTGTTTGCACATTAAACTGTCTTTCCCAGGCAGATAAAGTAGTTAAAGTATTTGCATGAGCCAGTTCTTTAGTGATAAGGGAATTTGTTTTGCTCTAGTCTTTTTTTTTTTTTCCTCCAACAGGAGCTAATGAGGTTCTTCTAGTGATTGGAGGTTTTGGCAGTCAGCAGTCACCTATTGATGTGGTGGAGAAATATGACCCGAAGACTCAGGAATGGAGTTTCTTGCCAGTAAGGAATTTATCTGCTTTGTGACTTTTTTCAGCAGCACTAGTTCCTGCAAACATGCTGTGATTACAGTCCTAACAGACCGGAACATCCGGATAGAGCTCCAGTTGTTTAATTTTTCTTATTTGAAGTGTCCATTCTGTTCTGCTAAGAATTTCAGATTTATGCTGAGAAGAATTGCTTAAGTTCAGTTGTTGCAAAAAGTGCTAATTATTCAGATTCAGGGAAAATGCATTGAGAGAAGTTTCAATTACATTCTAGAGCTGCTAAACAATTGAAAAACTTCTAGTTTGTGTTGTGATATGCAGCTTGTGGTATCAGTAAAATGGATAGAGAAACCAGCCAATTTCTTTACTGAGAGAAAAGAATGCCTGACCTTTACTGTTCTCTGTGATCTAAGAATGCCTGTAGATGTCTTCCGCGATCAGAGAATGCAAAGGCATGGAGAAAGAGGAAAGGGGTGAAGTTAAGGATTAAAAAAAAGAACTTAAGAAGTAGGGAGGGAGTAGTGGAGGTATCATATCTATGCTGTGTCTGTTGCAGCATTAAACTGGAGTCCTCTGTGTATAATGTCTTGCTGCATTTTTTGTAGGTTCATCACATAATTCAGTTGAAAACAATTAAGTAGTTAAGGCTGCAAAGTATTCTTTTACATTGAGCTTCTTCCCTTTTTTACTTGATTGTGCTGTGTAAAAATGGGAAAGAGTATTTTTTTATTTTATTTTAAAAGTTTTAAATCTCAACAGTAATTATTTTACTAGCTGAGGCAGCCTGACAGTGGTTTCATTGTTGCTGACTGTAGTTGTAGAGAACAGGGAAGGGAACAAATAAATTTGTATCTCCTGAAATGGAGAATGAGAAATGTTCCTTCCCAAGCAAAGAAAGTGGTAAGCTGCCTCTCATCTTCAGTACCAGGCCTCAGAAGAGCCTGAATACTATGAACCGTAAATCTCATTTAGATGGCTGAAAACCCTGGATGTTCCTAATTTATGTGACACAGCACCAGTTTTCCCCTTTACAAATTTCTGCAATGAAGGCAGGTGGTAGGAATGCAAACATCTGTGGTACATCAAAGATGCAGTAGCAGCTTACAGCAAATTGAACTTAAATTGCAAAATGAACCGTGTGAGCGTTCTGGGGACAGGAGATGGGGGCAGTGAGAGGAACAGAGCATGAGAAAGTAAGTCCATCCATACACGATCAGGGTCCCCCAGCATATCGTTTAAATGCAGGTTGCCATGTGTCCTTGACTGCATTAATAGGTCCTTTTCAGAAAAGCAGCAAAAGGGAATGGAATAGGCTGTGAGAGTTCTCCATGTATCAGTGTGATTTCCTTTCTTTGATACTTCTCAAATAGAGCATTACCCGTAAGAGGCGCTATGTTGCTACAGTGTCCCTGCATGATCGGATCTATGTGATTGGAGGGTACGATGGACGCTCCCGTCTCAGCTCCGTGGAATGCTTGGATTATACCTCAGATGAGGATGGCATCTGGTACTCAGTGGCTCCAATGAATGTTCGGCGAGGTTTGGCAGGGGCCACTACCCTTGGAGGTACACTCGGATCATACGCTAATAAGAGAAACCAAATTGCTCCACTGTCAGCATGAAATGCAATGTGTTGGCACCCTTGTTAGTGCATGTGGTTGTTCATGTGGATGGGGGTAACTTTCAGAGTTTGTAGTACTTCTGTGTTAACCCTAAGAGCAATCCTTCCACTTTCTCCTTATCCTTATTGTGTGGAAGTCTGTATTTTGAGAAGGTAATACCAAGCAGGGATTATAGACGGGAAACCCTTTTGTTGGAGCATATCTAGCAGGATTCAGCTATTTCTTTTAAGGAAGTGCTGATGTATCAATGAATGGTAGCATTCAAGTAAAGCTAGGCCTTCTATGCAGAGGGATACAATTGCACACAGAAGTTGTGCATAAAATGATATCAAGGGTGGAAATGATAGGCAAGGAAGGGGCATGTATGTATATGGGTGGGAATATTTGAGACCTGTTTATCTCAATCTACTTCCAATACTGTTGCAGACATGATCTACGTTTCTGGTGGTTTTGATGGAAGCCGGCGTCACACCAGTATGGAACGATATGACCCAAATATTGATCAGTGGAGTATGCTGGGAGACATGCAGACAGCTCGGGAAGGAGCAGGCCTGGTTGTTGCCAATAATGTTATCTACTGTCTTGGTGGGTGCCCATAGGATCCATCAGCTCTCTGCAAGTATTAGCATCCCAGGCATTCTGCAGGTGCTCGTGTCTCACCCAGATTTTATGTATGTAGTCTGCAGGAGCTCCCAGTACACGCAGAATCCAGCTTCGATAGGAAGTTGTTACAAATTTTGCTATAGCAGGGTATAGGGCAGCTTAGTCAGTAAGGACAGACTTATTTCATTCAGTCATTGTTGAGGGAGGCAGCAGTGCCTTAGACTAAAGCTCTTTCTTTACAGAATCATAAGATCTCTATAACTGGAAGGAAATTGGGCAAAACTAGCACTGGTGTTCTGTGAGACAATTGAGATACCTGAGAAGTGTAGGGATTGAGGGAGACTGCAGGAAATATGCAGTGGAGCGTATTACAGGCAGTGAGAGGTAGTACCTGCACTTCCAGGAGATTGGTGTTGTTGTGGTGTCACTGGAGCATGGGAAGTCTGTAGAGGCCTGTCCTGAGCTGCTCATGGTTCAGCTGTTCTTTGTGGTGATTGCAGGTTAGAAGGTCCCAGCTTGCATAATATGAATGTTCCAGGTGGAGGAATTTCAGATTCCCAGAACATTTCTAGGCCCCTTGGTCACTTTTGCCTTAGCTTTTGCTTTTCAGCCACCCTTATCCAATTCCAAGGGAATTGCACACCAAACACCATCTGCTAAATTTTCATACAGCTCCATCCTGAGTTCCCAAACCTTCCTCAGCCACTCTGCTTCTCTACCAGTGTGTACCCCACTGAGGCAGCATGATGTAGCCACTCTACATTGTCTTCTGAAAAAAGCTATTGTATTTCTCCTTCCTCAGGACCTTCCTTGCTTTTGCTGTCTGTGGCATCCAGGGCTCCCAAGCCCTGTTTGTTCACGGTTAGAGACTGTATTCCCACAGGTTTTTTGCCCAGCAATGCCAGTCTGCTCTGAGTTGCTCTGCTCACACCGCCAAACCTAAACCAGAACCACATAGAGTGGGGACGACATAGGCACATTGCTCTCTGGCATTAAACAGTTCTCAGTGTCAAACCCACTGTTTGTTCCTATATTGTGTTTCAGGTGGCTATGATGGTCTGAACATATTAAATTCTGTGGAGAGGTATGATCCCCACACTGGGCACTGGACTAATGTGACCCCAATGGCTACCAAGCGCTCAGGTGAGAGCTCTCATACACCCTGGAGTCTGAGCAAGGGTGAACTGCAATTGAATGAACAGTCATTTCTAGTTGTCTTGCCACCATCAAAGCCATTGGTCATATCCTGATATGGGAAGGGAGATGGAGAGGTAGGTATGTTGCAGTATAAACAATTCTAGCAATGGCTTTTGTGCAGCCATAGTGCCCATTTCCAGAAAAGTGTTCACTTAGCTTCAAAAAGATTTCCTTACTCTTCAGCAACAGTAGCCTTGTTGCTGAAGGGAATATTCTATTCTCAAATAACAGACAAGGTTTTGCCTGCTTTAATGCTACTCCATTCTGTCTGTTCTGAGCCATCAGTATTGTTGTATGGCTCATAGCACTTTGCATTTAGTATTTATTGGGTGAAACTGATAGAAAGCAGAGGGGAAGTTTCTGCCCCATTAGGAGCAAGGGACCAAGGGTGTTCTCCATTCCAGGGCAGTAGCTCTCCCATTGAGCCACCTATGCTCTGATTTGTATGCTTCTTCCTGGCCCTACATCTCTTCCTCTCTTGGCTGCCCAGTGTACCAGCTTTAAGAGATGGGTTGGTGATTAGAGTACTTTTTGGAAAGTAAGAGATGCAGGTTCAAATCCTCTCTGGATTAGTAAGGGGGGCTATAATTTGGATCTTGCATGCCCTGGGCAAGTGCACTAACTAATACGCTCCTGGGCTAAAACATGGGAGGGCTGGTCCTTCTCCTGTTCTCCATTTTACTTCTGGCAGGTCTGAATGCCAGGGTCATTCTGTTACGCCATGGGGCAAAATACTGAGTATGTGCCACTTAGGCACATACAGTGAGATAAAATGTAACCCAAAGTGCCTTTATACTAGATGAATCTCCGTTGTTACCTAAGATAGCGCGGCCTTTATTAGTACAGGCTGGAAACAGCACCCGCTCACACAGATATTTCTACCCTATCATGAGCATCACCAGAGTGAACAGTAAAGGCTCGCATGTCTCTGAGAACCAGGTGCTGCCTGGCTGTATGCAGGGCTAAGAAGGGAAAAGAGAAAGGAATCCATCCCACAACTTCCTCCTTGTTCTAGCTAGTGGATGGAGGAATAGCTGGAGATGTAACATCCTTGACTTATGATGGGGTTAGGCTTGCACATGGATAGCTATGGATTTGCTCATGTGCGCAAACATCTCTGTGCTGATCTGCCTAGTGTATTCCTACATACATGCTCTGCAGAGCTGTGTTAGTTCCATTGCATCTGCTGAAATTAGGAGAATCCAACTAGCTACAAGTGGGTAAGTGGTGAGACATTTTGAGAAAAGTAATTGCATTTTCTCTTTAGGATAGAAGCAGACAGGTAACACTTGACCCCCTACTTGGTTTTTTGTGGTGGCTTAAATGTGAAAGGAATATTCCTTCTGACCCTGCAAGGTTTACCTGGGGCTGTGGCTGGGGTGGACACTACTCCGTACATCCTAGCTGCAGTGATTGTTGTGCATTGCATGCCTGGCACCTTTTGCTCAATAGAACGCCCTTCCTTCCCTTTCCAGGGGCAGGAGTTGCTCTGTTGAATGATCATATTTACGTTGTTGGCGGATTTGATGGGACTGCACATCTCTCCTCTGTGGAAGCCTATAACATTCGCACAGACTCCTGGACTACTGTGACAAGCATGACGACACCCCGTTGCTATGTGGGTGCCACTGTGCTGAGGGGAAGACTGTACGCAATAGCTGGGTAAGAAGGGCAAGCCTGGGGCGGTCTGCAAAGAGGTCTCTAGAGTTCCTCTATACAGGTTCATCCGAAGTAATAGAAAGCAGATCCCTAATGAGCTTAATGCAGGGGCAGGCAATTATTTTGGGCGGAGGGCTGCTTACTGAGTTTCAGCAAGCCATCGAGGGCCGCATGACAGGCAGCCAGGGGCAGATAAATATTAATTTTCTAAATTTTTTAGGGGCCCTGCAGGCCGGATAGAATGGCCTGGTGGGCTGCATCTGGCCTGCGAGCCGCATTTTGCCCACCCCTGGCTTAATGTTTAGTGCAGACAAATGCAGTCATGTTCAAGCCTGTTAGCTGACAATGTTTACTCCAGGGTGGTGGAGGAGGGGAGTGGCACGTTTTCGCCAAGGAATGTAACAGCCATTGCACGAGTAAATTTAGTGTAACAGGCTGAAGATCCTACAGAAGGGATTCAAATGAGGCTGTTCATGCATTTCACTGATGGGACTCGTTAAATGAGGATGGGCTGTGGTTTCACTGTACTGAATTAAGCAAGTGGCAGCATTGCGTGCTGGAATGTTGCTCAACCAGACTGGATATAGTGAGAAGAGCTTCTGTGCTGGTTTTAATACAGCCCTTCCCCTCACACATGCAATTTTAACAGCATTCCTG